TATAGAAGAGCTGACGGTCTCTTTGGTTTAAGTGGAGCAAAAGGACAAAGGGCTACAATGGCTCATGGTAAGAGATTTGTTTAATTTTTTTATTGTAATATAATTATGTAGATATAACACAAAAGGTTAATAAGTTGATGCATAACTTGCAGCTGAATGGTGGAAGAATTATGGAGTACGTACACCACATTTACAAAACATTGTTATTAGAGTGTTGAGTTTGACTTGTAGTTCATCTGGATGTGAACGAAATTGGAGTACTTTTGAGCACGTAAGTAAATGTCAAGTAACTTCAATTTAAAGTTCTTATATTAAAAGTGCAAATCTAATATATATTTTTTATGGTAAAATAGATTTATTCTAAAAAGAGAAGCAGACTTGAGCATCAAAGGTTACAAGAATTGAGTTTCATTAAATATAACCAAGCTCTTAATGAACGTTTTGAGTGTTCTGACGTGATGGATCCTATTATCTTAAAGGATGTTGATGATAGTAATGATTGGTTGCTAGAAGGAATAGCTGGAGATGATGAAGATGCTGTAGATGAATTAGTGTTTGATGATGATAACTTGACTTGGGGAGCTGTTGCTAATGCAATTGGGGGCTAGTGAGCCTATAACCTACACTAGGCAACAAGTGAGATCAAAATTCAAGACAACTACAATTGCTTCTTCATCTAAATCTAAGGAAAAGGGGAAAGAAATTGTGCAAGAAGAAGAAGAATGTGATGAGGAAGACTCTGAAGAAGAGGAGGAGGAAGTTCTCTACAAAAGTAGTGATGAAAGTGAAAATAAAGAAAACATGGCAAATCTTGGAGATGAAGATGATGATAATTATTAAAATATTTGTATTTGAATTAAACACTTAGTATTTTTAAACATCTAAGCATTAGAGACTTAAATTTAGTTAGTTAAATTTATTTTTATATTTTGTTGTTACTTGTTATTGACATCTAAGCCTATATATGTGTGTGGAATTTAATTTATAAGTATATTTATAATACCTAAAATAGCGGTCATCCCGCTATCCGCTATGCCGCTATAGCGTTTTTGAGGTCGGCCGCTCCGTGCCGCTATCCGGGATTGACTACTATGGCTTGTACTAGATATAAATGGATTTATATGTTGCAGACAAAATCAGATGCATTTGTCATATTTAAAGAGTTCAAACTGATGGCAGAAAAGCAGTTTGCTTGTCCACTCAAATCTGTTCAAACAGATTGGAGAGGAGAATTTAGAGTTTTCACTTCTTATTTGAAGGAACATGGTGTTATACACAGGGTAACCTGTCCCTATACTCACCATCAAAATGGAAGTGTTGAAAGAAAACATAGAACTGTTATTGAGCTTGGGTTAGCTATGCTACACAAAGCCTCTCTACCACAGAAATTTTGGGATCATTCATTCCTGGCAGCAGTCTATCTCTTAAACAGACTTCCTACTTCAGCGTTGCAGTTTCAGATTCCTTATAAAGTGCTGTATAAATCAGATCCTGACTATAAGTTCCTTAGAGTTTTTGGGTGTTCATGTTTTCCACTCTTAAGGCCCTACAATCAACATAAACTTCAGCCTAGGTCTGAAGAATGTGTTTTCCTTGGCTATTCATCTAATCACAAGGGTTACAAGTGTCTTAATAAAGATGGGCTCATCTTTATCTCTAAAGATGTTATTTTCAATGAGTATTTCTTTCCCTATACCAAGCTGTTTTCTCAGGAAAAGTCAGACTCCAGTTTATCCCTCTCATCTCATATTCCTTTGGTGAAGTTACAATCAAGTGTGGTTCAGCCTAACTCTACAAATGCTACATCAAATTATGAACCTCCAGGATTTGTCACCAATCCTCATCCTAATACTACTACTATATCTCACTCAAATTCTTCTTCAAATTCTAATTCCAATACTGTAGTCTCTTATCCTCAAAGCCAATTACATTCTGATCAAGCTGCTAGTATACCTGCAGCAGTATCTGGTTCTCAAGTCCATTAAATTCTGATCAAGCTGATATTGTACCTGCTGGTGATTCTCAGGGTGGTTCTAATCCAACTCTTCTAACACAAATCACACTAGTTCTGGTTTTATTCAAGAATCAGCTACTGAGCATCAGGTTCAATACCCTACTGCTTCTATCCATCCACAAAATATTCATCCCATGACCACTCGTGCTAAAGCAGGTATTGTCAAGCCTAGGCTAAATCCTACTTTACTTTTAACTCATGTTCAAAGTTTACCTAAAACAGTCAAAACAGCACTTAAAGATCCTAAATGGGCAGCAGCTATGGAGGATGAGATGAGAGCTCTTTCCAAAAATCAAACTTGGGAGTCTTACAACCTTACCCACTAACAGAACAGCTATTGGCTGTAGATGGGTTTTCAGGGTAAAAGAAAATCCTGATGGGACCATAAACAAGTATAAAGCAAGGTTAGTTGCTAAAGGTTTTCCATCAACGACCCGGGTTTGATTTTTCTGAGACATTTTCTCCAGTCATTAAACCTGTGACAATCCGGATTATTCTCACCTTAGCCTTGTCTCATAAGTGGGATATCAAGCAACCAGATGTAAATAATGCATTTCTGAGTGGTGATCTTGAAGATGAAAACAACCTCCAGGTTTTGAAAATGAAAACAAACACCTAGTGTGTAAGCTGAACAAAGCTTTATATGGGCTTAAACAAGCTCCAAGAGCTTGGTTTGAGAAGCTTACTGCTTCTCTAAAAATTCTGGGATTTGTTCCTAGTAGGTGTGAATCGTGTGATGCTTCTCTATTCATTTTCTCTCATTTTGGAAAAGTTATCTATGCTTTAGTTTATGTGGATGATTTAATCATCACAAGCAGTTGTAGTTCTCTAATTCAGCAACTGATTAAGAAACTGAATGTTCTCACTAAAGCTTCTTGGAGACTTGGATTATTTTTTGGGAATTGAAGTAAAACACTGTCCTAATGGCTCTTTACTTCTTACTCAAAGTAAGTACATCAATGATTTGTGGATAAAAGTCAAAATGGACGATGCTAAACCTATTTCCAGTCCTATGGTTGGAGGTCTTAAACTGTCAAAAGAAGGGCCTAATCTCTTTCAAGATCCTACTTTGTACAGATCTGTAGTAGGTTCTCTACAGTATGCTTGTCTAACAAGACCTGAAATCAATTTTTCTGTTTATAAGGTCAGTCAGTTCATGCAGCAGCCCTTAGATGAGCATTGGAAAGCTGTCAAGCGTATATTAAGATACCTAAAGGGAAGTATCACTCATGGCCTTCATCTTAAACCAGCCAAAATTGATTCTCCTCTGAAAATTCTAACATTCTGTGATGCAGATTGGGCTGCTGACCCTGATGATAGGAGATCCACTTCTGGGGTTTCTCTGTTTTTAGGTCCAAATCTTATCAGTTGGTGGTCTAAAAAGCAGATTCTAGTGGCTAGATCTAGTACAGAAGCAGAGTATCGCAGCTTAGCTCAGGCCACTTGTGAAGTATTATGGATTCAGTCCCTACTCAAGGAGTTACATTTCTCCTTTGATGTACCTTTGATTTTCTGTGACAATCAAAGTGTAGTTGCACTAGCTCATAATCCAGTCCTTCATGCTAGGTCCAAGCATATGGAACTGGATATCTTCTTTATAAGGGAAAAGGTCCTAACTAAGAAACTTTTAGTATCTCACATTCCAGCCCAGGAACAGCTTGCTGACATTCTCACAAAGCCTTTATCTCCTGCTAGATTTCAAGTGCTCAAAGACAAACTCAATGTTGTTGACTCTGCTAGACTTCGTCAACCTCCTTGAGTTTGAAGGGGGAGTATTAGGGAAAAGAATAAAGCTACTCTTTTATTCTTTATGTATTTATTAGTTTTGTATAGTTTCTGTGCTTAGTTGTGCTTTATGCCAGCTGTATGTTAGTTATTTAAAGCTGTTTAACAGCTTGTAAGTTTGTTTTCTGTTAATTAGTCTCTGAAATAGAAATTAGTTTCATTTTGTTATAGATGCTGCTCATAACAGCTCTATACAAGTGAGGAGTCCTCACTACTGTAGTTTTAAGTCTTTTCATTTTGTTCAGAATTCAATAATAGAAATTTCTCTTCATGTTTTCTCTGAGTTTTCAATCTCAGTCTCAAACCTTCATTTTCAATTTTATAATACTTAAATACTTCAATCTTCCTTTAAAGGACATTTAATTGACATTTGACACTAAAGAAGAACCCAAAAAAAACTTATGACGAGCTATTTTCAAAGTATGTATGGAATGAACGAGATACAGAAATCTCAACCTGATATCTGCAGCCACCCCTCAATTATGGCCTATATTATACTTGAACGTGTCCAATTTTTTTTCCAGAGCATCAATATCACAACAAAACCCTTGTGTTGTTTTTTCCACACTATAAAGTATACTCTTGAAGAAAAACTAATAGTACCCTCTAGAAGAAATGCCATTACCCTAAAATGGCCATGTATAATTAGTTTAGTAGTGAAGCTACTCCCGATTCAGCCAAAAAGTTCACATTTTCTAGGATGAGAATGTAGGACCAGACCACATGAATCGAGGAGGATAGAATTGTTTGAAGCTGGACTATTATCAACTGAGTAGCTATAGATGACTCTAACCACTTGAGATTGTGTTACCAAAATGCTTAGCATAATGGATATATTTTTAAGAAACTGAATTGTAAGCATGTCATGTTCGCAACCACTTTCAGTTTTCCTCTCACTTGAGATTGCTTCATTTACCACCACTCTACCTAGATAGTTACTTCAACACAATAATTAAATATCTGCTCAATTTAATCAGGACTAAATATTAAAAATACATTATCAGTAAAAACTGAAAAACATGCCCATGTGGAGTACCTGTTTTCTCCCTCGAAACAGAAACCAAGCAATTATCTGTAGATCTAGATACTGACTAGGAACTCAACCATTTGAATTTAGGTATATTAGTGGCAAAAGCTGAGGGTGGGGGAAGACAAAAAGGAGCAACAGACAATCCAAAATGCAGAGAGGGAAGTTGATTACCCAATACCAAGAAACGAAAACTCCAGTAGCAATAGCAAAGCGAAAGTCCAAGGGAAGTTTGCTCTGATCTGCAGAAACTTGAAGCTTTTCTGAACCTGATCTGACAGATCTGGCACATCAGAAACCCCAAAATGAAAACATGGTATCATGTCAGATTCAACCAAATTTAGCAAAGAATCAAAATGGATAATACAACCAGGCAAAAGAATTTTAGAAAAACTGATCTAAGATTAAATGCTCACTGCTAAGCAATATGAAGAGGAGTGAAGTACCCAACACTGTACAACTGATATGGGATTTGAATAGAAGAACAAAACAACGAAAAAGTGATTCGGAGAGATCAGCGATTAGTGAGAAACTGATATGCAATTTGAAAAGTGGAGTGAAATATGCCACCTATGGAATGCAATTCAGATTGAAAAGTGAATGATGGAAACATGAATCGAAACTACTAGTCTGGCTCAGGACTTTGATTCATTGAAATCAGAAGAGAATAGGATTATGATTAGGGGTCAAAAGAGAATCAAAACAGGGGAATAAGGTTTAGGGGCTTGGATTCTGGTTCAGGGCTTTGATTAGGGTTTGTGATTGGAAAATAGGTTAGGGTTTGGATTATTCCAGCCATTAAACTAGAACTCCAAAAACAGGTCTTGGTTCTATAATTAAAGTTCAAACCATAAATCAGGTTGGTTCATAAACTGGTTTAAACAATTCGGTTATTTAAGGACTGGGTCCCATTGGTTTTAGTTTGGTCTGGGCCTACTGGATTATTTGCCTAGTTACACCATCAAACACTAACACATTACTTGTTCATAAGTTTCAAATTATATAGGCCAACAACTCTCAATTGACCATTACAGTAGTCCGCTGCTCCAGATATCCTTCCAGCTAGACTTCATTAGATCCAAAATAATAATTATCCTAGAGTATGAAATTAGAGACATTCAATTTGAGGTTTTTTCATTTTTTAAAGTAGACATGTATTGGATATATGTTAATCTGTATCCCTCACTCATCTTATATTCTTCCCCTTTATGCGCTTTATGCTTTTCTCACAAATCACAATCATTAATATGCTTCTTAGATTAAGAGATTTTGTTTTTAAGAGAGAGAAAGAAATGACAATTCCATTACAAAATATCTTACATTACAAAACTAAAGTAGAAAAATGTGGGGTATGTGTTTTATTACCAAATTAAATTTCTCTAAAGTAAGAAGTAGACTTCAAAAAGAAAATATTGAATAATAATCATGGATTGAAAGAGAAATGAGCAAAGTATTTTCATCTACTGCTCTGTAATCATAGAATTTGCTTAGATGAGGCAGCAGCACACCATACAGGAATAACTATAAATCTATGAACATCTTTCAAGATTCAATGCCCTAAATACTCAGTACAAATATTTCTCTGCCCTCCGGGCAATTTCATAGTTAAGTGCAAAGAGAAAGCATCAGTGAATGAATTTGTCAACATGTGAACTTACCTGAAGTTCAGAGATCAAGTGTAAAACCATCATATGCAGTATCTTTGCACTTGCATTTCAGTTTACAAAACCAGATTCCAATAGAAATAATACAGCACATGTATATCCAAATGAATGTAACAAATCTAGAGACAAACAGGTAGACTTGCCAATACCAAAACCAAACTGCAGTTTCATAACAAGCAAAAAGTATCTTTGTAAAATCTAATAGGCAGGCTTACTTATTAATGCAACTACAAAAACAAAATCAGACAAGTAACTACTAATGCACAACATCTATAGATGCAAGTGCAACCAATACACATTTGATAAAGTTGATGAACTCATAAGGTCAGGAAGGAAACATTGCCTATCTGCTGCTATCACTAAAGTACAGCAATTTCTTATACTTCAATCTCATTTAATTTTCAAATTTGAAATAGTAAATGGGTTTATTGCATATCAAAGTTGGGGTTTATATTGTGGGTAGAATTAAGGGGTGGAAAAAACATTGGGTGTATATGTGAGGGTAAGTAGGACTTGCAGGCATAAGAAAGGATTAGAGGACTAAATTGGTGGTTAGTATAGAGCTAGGAACAGTGACTTGATTTCACGGGATTAAGGGAAAACTCAAGCTAGGGATTTGATGGGTTAAGAATGAAAATAAGCTAGGCATCACACCCACATTAGGGGTTAACAGCTAAATTTATCTTTTGTTTGAAAGAGGAACTGCAAAACACAAGGTTTGAATCGATTTTTATCACTATGGATTAGGAAATAGGGATCAAGGCTTGCAAACAGATCTATAGTTTAGGAAACACTAATTCATACACCATTTTGACAAAAGCTTATACACACACACACACATTCAAATTCTTCATAGTGGGACAATCTCAGTTCAAAAATGCATATAAAAACGAACATTTCATGCACTCTATTGCCTAATGTCTATGTGCTGTTCACAGTGCCTCAAAAACCTTTCACTCTATTGCCACAGTGCACACAAACACAACCCTTGTGTTGGCTAGGGTTCCATATAAATTAATATTGTACCTCTTTTGATGAAAAGGATTCTTTAACAAAATTATTATAACAAAGGACTAAATTGTAAATTTAATTTTTGGAGAATATTTCATGGAGTACTGGTGCACCAAAGAATACAAAAATATATTTTACATTTATTTGAATAAAAAAATAAAAGACGCAAAAGATAGTCCATAAGTTTAAAAATAAAAATTTGAATCAATTAATATAATAATAACTGAATTTTTCAATAAAATATTAATTTAGAATTATTGGAAATAAATTTGTTGTGCATTGCAGATTGACTTCTCTGTTTCTTCAATCAAGTGATTGTTTGGGTTTTAAGTACATTATATATGAAGTTTGGAAACATTGATGCTCTTGCTCATTTTAGAGTTTAGACATACATGGATAAAAAAAAACTTTTCAAAACATTTGAAAAATACAATTTAGACAAAACAAAAGCAAAGTACAAGTAAAATAAAAGATATCCTCTAAGTTAGCAAAAAGAAAAATACATGAGGATTTGAAGGGGAAGAAAAGCAGCAAAGCTGCCTAATCACTATGCATATCTGAAATGGAAGCACTGTTGAAACAGTAATCTTAACTAGAGGTGGTATCAACTTATAAGAAAATACGTGTAAAGCGACACAACAAACAGGGGGGAGAGGGGTCAGAGGTGATATTCACTTCAAAGATCCCTGCAATAATAATTAATAAACTTACAAGCAAGAACTGATCATTTGGATCTACTTTATGTTTAAACCATTTTTTATTAGACTAAAATGTCACCTGCACATAATTCAGATACAAAAGGTATTATGGATGCAGTAACTCAGATTCGGGAGTATTACACATGATAAAATAATGTAGAATGAACTGGTCAATTCAACCAAAAAAATGGGAAAAATGGTTAGGGGTGGGAGTTAGAGAAAACTAATGAAAAACTAGTGATAAAAAATTAATTTGAACGGATAGTTTACTCAAATCATTCATAGTCATACATTGACAAATTAAGTTGCTAGCAGAACACAGTTCACTGCTAATAGTTTTCAAATTGCCCTACATTATATTAAACATTCAAAATATTATCTATCGTAAATGTTAAAAGAATTTTTTACGATTGTGAATGTACAAACAAGACAATGCTTGTAGGATTCTTAAAGTCTACTATTTTTCATTTTACACACTTTCTTAGCCATAGAAGCACGAGAAGAAATCACAGCTGGAGCTATCAATTTTATCTAGCATTTTTTTGTGTAGAAAGTCCTAGAGTTTGAAGCTTGTAGGTAACTGGAAGACAAAGCTCCTTTCTCTATTTAATTGTCCAAGTTGGGGATTCTACCTTGAGAAAGGTATGAGACGGTTTCAAGCTCATCTGATTCTCAAGCAACACCAGTATTTTCTTCCTACTCTTCATCATTCCCTCCATTCACATCTTGCTTAGTAAGTTCAGAGCTGGTGCTAGGCTCCTTCAAGAACATATTAACACCTAACTATAGAGTTTCTTTGGTGCTCTTCTCCATTTTGAATGTGCTGCTGAAGTGATTCTTTCATATTTGCAAAGTTCTTCTCAAAGGAACAAAATGCACGCTAGGAAATGACACCGTGCATTCCATTATTCAGAAGCAAGATTTGTAAAAAAAAGTTATATATTTTGACACTCACGATTTGGGTGTAAAGTGGGTAGAGAGAAGAGAGAGATAACATAAAGGAGAAGATAGAAAATAAATGTAAGAAAAATTGGGTGTAAAAATACTAGTGACCGAGCAGAACTTTCATCAAACAAATGGTGTCCATACGGATTTTTGTCACCTCTTATTGGAAAATTTTAAACTTGCCAAACTGGGTCATTTGTCTGGACAAAACTAAGTTTATTTGATCTGGATCAGGTTCATATACAACATCAACCTTTTAGCACCTAGCTCTGTTGTTGGTCTGACACTAATAGACACCAACATTAATTTTTATTCTCTTCCAAGAGATCCTATCATATTGTAACTGATGAATAAACAATTAATTAAGTTAATTGAAAATCACTAAATTTGGAGAGAAATGAGCATTAGTATTAGGGTTCCTGAAAACAATGAAATGAGCTGGGAGTGTGAGTGTACCTACCTGGGGACGAGCGTGACTTTGGAAGGGAGGTTTCAAGGTTCCCCTATGACCCAGACAAAATTAAGATTTGGGATTTGTGATTTACTGTGACAGACGCTATGCAATTTGTGATTCTCTACTGCATTGCACGATTCTAGGAATGTTATCATTAATTAAAATAAAATTTTAAAACATACTTTAATATTTTTATATCTTATAAATTTAAAATAAATAAATAATTTAAATACTAATAAATAAAATAGTTAATATAATAAAATTATGAGACTTAATAAATAAAATAATACTTTTAAAAAACTCTCATCTAAAATAAAATGCATATTTATTATATTAAAATTGAATTTATAAAAATATAAATCATTTTATGACAAAATTTTCACACTGAAATATGTACCTTATATTTTAAATTGTAATATTTAATCTGAATTTTATCTATAAAAGAATTATTTTTAAAGTTTTTTTTTAAAATTATTTTGAAGAGTAAATTATATTTAAACTTTTTTTCTTTTTTCTACATCATTGTCTTTCTCGATAATAAATGAAAGATAATTTTTTTTTTCATCTTTAGTCATATCTTTATCAAACTTTTTGAACTCATTTAGTAACTTTATTCTTTTATATTTCTTTAAAAGGGTTAGGCTTTGCATTCTTTTCTTTGGCCTTAAAAAATTATAGTCATTACTGTGTACTTCCACTACTCTATCTCAATCTGAATAATTTTTCAATAAATATTTATAACAGTTTAAAAAAAAATAAGTAGTAAAACGAATCAAACTTCTCTCATAAGTTACAATAAAGTTAAGCTTTTATATATTTTAGAAGTTATTTAACTTCTTTAAAACTTGAGAAAATTAATTAATTTTAACTTATGAAATGAATTTATATTTTTTTCTTATAAAATCTTATTCTTAACTACTGGTACCTTTAGGCTCAACTACCTGTTTTGGTCTAATATTTTTTCAAGTTTGTTCTCCTTACTTTAATACTTAAGGAACGTCTGTAAAATTCATCTTTCGCCACTAATACACTCATTTTCTGCCACCAATACTCCTTGGATGTGACTTGTAGAACTCAAAGGAAGGTTTCCCCTTTGCTATTTCTCCTCCCGGTGCCATTGGACTCAACTTGCGATTTTGGTCTCCCATTAACGTAAGCAAAATTTATTTTTTGCTAACGAAACTCTTTGAAAGTGACTTGTAACGCTTAAGAAATGTGTGCAAAACTCATCTTCCACCACCAAAACTCCTTGGATGTGATTTGTAAGACTCAAAGAAAGGCTTCTCCTTTGCTTTTCCTCCTCCTAGTACCACTAGGCTCAACTTGCGATTTTAGTCTCCCATTTTTTCAAATTTGTCTTCTTTTGCTTAGCATTTAAGGAACGTAAGCAAACTTATTTTCCACTACTAAAACTCCTTAAAGGTGATTCATATGACTCAAAGGAAGACTTCTCCTTTGTTTTTCCTCCTCCTAGTACCATTGGGCTCAACTTGCGATTTTGGTCTCCCATTTTTCTAAGTTTGTCTTCTTTTACTTAGCACTTAAGGAACGTAAGCAAAACTTATTTTTCGCTAAGGAAATTCTTTGAAAGTGGCTCGTAGGACTCAAATGAAAGCTTCTCTTTCGCTTTTTCTCCTCTCGATGCCTTTGGGCTTAACTTCTGATTTTGGTCTTCCATTTTCCCAAGTTTGTCCCTTTTTGCTTGGCACTTAAGGAACGTATGCAAAACTCATCTTCCGCCACCAAAACTCCTTGGATGTGATTCGTAAGACTCAAAGAAAGGCTTCTCCTTTACTTTTTCTCCTCCTAGTACCGTTGGGCTTAACTTGCGATTTTGGTCTCTCATTTTTTCAAGTTTGTCCTCTTTTGCTTAGTGCTTAAGGAATGTGAGCAAAACTTATTTTTCACCAACAAAACTTTTTGAAAGTGACTCGTAAGACTCAAAGAAAGGCTTCCCTTCCTTTTTCTCCTTCTGATGCCTCTAGACTCAATTTCTGATTTTAGTCTTCCATTTTCTCAAGTTTGTCCCCTTTTGCTTAGCGCTTAAGGAACGTCTGCAAAACTCATCTTCTGCCACCAAAACTCCTTGAAAGAGACTCGTAGGGCTCAAAGGAAGGCTTCCCTTCCACTTTTTCTCCTCCCTGTGGCTTTGGGCTCAACTTGCAATATTGGTCTCCCATTTTTCCAAGTTTGTCCCCCTTTACTTAGTGCTTAAGGAACGTGTACAAAACTTATCTTTCACCACCAAAACTCCATTAGAAGTAACTCGTATGACTCAAAGGAAGGTTTTTCCCTCTGTTCTTTTCTCCTCTCAGTGCCATTAGGCTTAACTTGCGGTATTAGTTTTCCATTTTTCCAATTTTGTCCTCTTTTTCTTAGCGTTTAAGGAACGTGGCCAAACTCATTTTCTGCCACCAAAACTTCTTGGAAGTGACTCATAGGACTTCAAGGAAGACTTCCCTTCCACTTTTTCTCTTCTTGGTGCCTTAAGGCTCAACTACCGATTTTGGTCTCCCATTTTTTCATGTTTGTCTCCCATTGTTTAGCATTTAAGAAACATGTGCAAAACTCATCTTCTGCCACCAAAACTCCTTAGATATGACTCATGGGGCTCAAAAGAAGGCTTCCCCTCCGCTTTTTCTCCTCTCGAACGTTTTAATCATTCAAATCTAATTAAGATCTTTCAATTGAAAGTAAATAGAAACTAGTATCATGTAACTAGATCATATTACGACTTCATTAATGTGATTAAAATATGATTCATTAAATTTTCCCACATTTAAGCTTTTGAAATACACATATAAAATAGTAAAAATAAAACAATAAAAATAAAAATAGAAACAACAATATACGCTACCAAAAATTCTGCAAAATATAGAAAATAAAAATAAAGTAAAAAATAAAACTACAAAATTGCAAAATAGAAATAAGAAAGTAATACTAATAATCCATAAAATAGAAAAAAAAAATTAAAATAATAGAATGATAGAAAAATAAAATGAAATACAGCACATATCACTTTTTAGACTTAGATCATACATTTTCTACAATGTAAATAAAAAAAATGAAATGTAGAAAACAAGACAAGTGCAATAAAAGAGGAGGAAGATTGGAACTCTCGCATTAAGGTATAAAAATGATATGTTTTAAGAAAGAGATTTTTTAATATCTTCTTCAAGTGCAATACTCTAATGGAAGTGCTTAAGTATATATTTGTTCACCTTATAATACATGTGGTCAAATTATTCAAATTAGTTTCTAACTAATTAGCACTAATTAGCATTTGTTACGGTGTCAGCTACTTGGTTATCTTTAGCTGTTGCTTATTCTGTTTTCTTAACTTTAGTTGTTGTTACCTTATTTCCAGCTCTGTTACTTCCTTTCTGTTTTTAAGTTTCACGTATGTAACATCTCTACTTTATTAATTATTAATTTCATACTTGATGTGAGTTGTTAATGCATGTTGCTTGAAATTAGGATAGTTTTAGATATGTGAGTTGCAGAATTTTTCGCTGTAGTGAGAAATCAACATAAAAATCAGGCATTTTGATGCTCTCTCGCTGTAGCGAGGATCTTCTTGCTGTAGCGAGGAGCTCTCGCTTTAGCTAGAATGATAGACAGTAAAGTGCAATTTTGTTTGGTTTTTTCGCTGCAGCGAGAGAAAGTTTCGCTGTAGCGAAAATTTCTCGCTGTAGCGAGAATGTCGCAAGTCTAGGGGTATTTAAGGATTTTCAAGTTAGAAAACTTGGATTACAATCCAAGTTTCAAGCTCTTTCTTGTTCTCTCGACCCCTAACCCCCTCTTCTTAGAAAATCTCTCCAAAACCTCAACTTTCTTACAAATCCAAGCTTGGAAACTTCATCAATCAACTCCAAGTAAGTTCTTGGAGCTTTATTTTTATTTTATTTTTTGGTGTTTTCTAAGTTTTCCTTTCTCAAATTGTTCTTTTTTGTGATATCTAGGAAAATCTTGGTCCTTTTACTAAGAACCTTTCACAAAATCTCTTTCAAAACTTCATCTCACGGTAAGGAGAGCTCTATTTCATTGCTAGGAACTATTGTATGTATAGGTGAAAATGCTTGAAATGAGTATGTTTTGATTGATAACATGTGATTGATGTGTTTAAAACATGCTTCGTGATGTTTGAAAATGATATGTGATGAGTATGATATGTTTGAATCTGGGCATGTGTATCACTGAGCCCGAGAGGAATAACCCTCGGTAATGAGAAAGTAATATATAATGAAATAATGAAATAGAAAGAGACATAGAAAGATGAGATATAAAAGAGAAAGAGAAAGGAAATTAGAATGAATACGAAAAGGACAAGTATAGATAGTTCAGAGGTACATTGGGAGTGTGAAAGATGGAGAAGACTGAAAAGTCTTGGGGAAATGAGGGTGGTGGATGCTCCTCTTGAATTGTGCACTATAAATGAGAATAGGAGCACCATAGGCCTCACACTCGTTTCCTGACCTATACTCCTGATCACATTTTTGCTAAAAGGGGTCGGGTCGGCACACGTTGTATCCGTATAGTTGTGGCTATCCAACAATTATCTATGCTAAGGAAGACCTCAAGGGATCCCAAGGGCAGTGGAAATTGAGAATGGAACTGAGTACGAAATGAGTACTGAAAGGAAAGATTGATAAATATAAGTTGAATGTATAACTAAATCGATTTTATGATGCATGTTGGATGTTGACTTGTATTATTGGATTCTTTGTGTATGTATGCCTGGAATGAATGTAGGGACTCATCCTTAAGTAACCATTTTAGGAAGCACAGATGACAGCACCCAGGGAGGGAATTAGAATAGTAGATAGTTCAGAAGTAAATATAGTAAATGATGTTTTTGGCGAGTATCAAAGACTTACTTCTTTTAGAATTCTTGTACATGATAGTGAGATACCTAGTGAGGTAGTGATGATGGAGTTAGAGTTAGCCTTTAGTATCCCTTTTGATTTGTCTGTACATAGAATCCATCACACCCTCTATATTTATATCTTTTCTGGTATTGAGAGAACCCCTGCAGCAGTAACGTATCTTGTTACGTACCATGACCATGATCAGTATAGAGTACCATCGCGATGGACGATCGAGAATATTACAGGTGTTCAGGTCACCACAG